GTGCGAAATCGCCTTTCAGGTAGGTAGTCCTCTAACCATGGCAGAAGTGGCTTACCTATACCTACCTGGCTTATTTTGTGTAGGAGAAGGTCATGGTGAACAGTGTCGAATGCCTTCTCAAAGTCTAGGAAGACCACACGGACTGGAACATTCATATCCCAGCATGATGTCCAGTCGTCCCAAGCTGATAGTAGGTTAGTAACGCAGGATCTGCCTTTCCTGAAACCGTGTTGGGATTCGTGGAGTATATTAGACCTATCGAGATATTCCCTGATGTGATCGTCAATAATACCACTGGGAGTAGAGCTACTGGTCTATAACTAGTGAGATTTTGCCTATCCCCACCCTTGAAGATCGGAGAAAGGATGCTTCTTTTCCACTCCCTTGGCAGTTTCCCCGATTCCATGGAGTGTTGGAACAAGTCGCATAAAGGCCTACAGAGAGCTTCGGCGCACTGTTTCAGAACAGATAGCCTGATGTCGGTCACAACCTAGGGAATTCCCAGGTGCGAGTCGCTGTAGCTTTCTCAGTACTATTGCGGGGTTTATTTGGGGAGTAACCATTAGGTCTTCCTCCTGTGAAATAGTGATGCCACCATTTTGGTCCGTAACGGTAATACCAACAATGCTGTTTAGCTGCTTGGTGAAAGCTAAACTAAATGTTTCAGCCATCTCCAGACTAGTGAGATATTGACCGTTTTGGCCTACTAAGCCGCACGCCCCCTGGTTGGTTGGTTTTCTTTCCGACATGAATCGGTACAAGTTCTTGGGGTTCACTAGGAGTTTATTAGTAAGGTTAGCCTGGAATGACCTCATGTCCCTCCTGGCTCTTGCATTGCACCGGTTCCTGAGTTCCAGGTATGCATCGTGGTCGATCTGATTCTCAGATACTCCCCACGTAAACCAAGCCTTCCGCTTTGCTTGCAGATACGTTACGTGCCTCTCTTTAACTATGATGACTTCCTTTTGGGCTGTGTTGTGACTTAAGGGACAGTATCCGAGAATACTGTGTGAATAATCACTTTTGCCACTTCCCAGTGTTCATCCACAGATAGCTCATCCCATGTTAAGGGCCAGTCTGCGTCAGACAAGTGCCTCCGCATTTCAGCATAGTCAGCCTTACTGTAACACAGACATGGTTGCGTAACGTCCCACTGCAAATGCTCGCGGAGAACGAGGGCGAAACCTATGACTGCATAGTCACTACTTCCTACAGGAGTCATGATCTGGACCTTATCGACGAGTCGTTGGTCACTAGTCTAGTTTTGATGACTTTCCACTAGGGCCCCACCTAGTGTCGTCTCCAACGTTCTCAGTCAGTCCCGTGTTCCGAATAGTTTGCAGTAGATTTTGGCCAAATTTTCCCTTAGCATACCCCGAGTCAAGGTTCAGTGATGGGGCATTGAAATCTCCAGCAATGGTGATTTGGTCATAGCCCAAGTCTCGAATCCCTGTGATAGTGCTGAGCAGTAGCTGATTGTGCTCTGCCCCACAGGTGGGAGATCGGTAGATACCACCAAGTAAATGCTTGGTGTGGCCTACGGTGAAATGGCACCAAATGGAGTCTGGGAGTTCAATAAGTGGTGGGTCCGTTGCGCGCACACATTTAAGTTGCCTGTCAAAGTATATAGCTACTCCCCCTCCTTCCTTATTATCCCTGTCTCTCCTGACCAGAACCATATCATCTATACTGATTTCGTTATTGGCGACAATGGGGGTTAGCCATGTTTCGGTGAGAATGATCATTTTTCAGTTGTAGGTGTGCTTGGAGATTTCAGAGTTCACCTATTTTTCCTCTCAGCCCCCTCACATTGCTATATAGGCAGCTGACAGTGAGTTTTACAACCTCAGCGTGTTGTAGGGTAATTGACGTGAAGCTGTCTGCTGGTAGAGGACTTAATGTTGGGACTAGTTGGCCAAATCCGAAGGAACCGGCCCGTTGTAGTCTTTTTCCATGGATGTAGGCAGGACACTGACTGTTATTCTCAGAACTGCATCGCTCTGGTGTCACTGAAGCTTGGGGACGTATCAAAGCCTCAGTTTGCTGCCTCCTTGTGGTTCGAGGCTTGCTTTCGCAGCATCGCATGTGTCCTTCTATGTTCCCCTTGATCTCATGCCACCGTTGAAGTGCTATGGCCAACTGCTCTGGGGAGTTGAATGTGACACTTAGCAGCTTTGGGGAGCTACTCAGTGTGAGATGAGCGGGGCGAGGTAGTCGGGAAATGGAGATGGCTCCAGAAGCGCCAAGGGCCATCTGAGACGACAGCCATCTCCACTGCTGTACGTCATACATGTGTTTTTGACAAGCAGTGCCCGTTTCCAGCTCCGGAACACCGTGTATCACCATAGAGGGGGAAGGCATCAGTTCCGGTGACTCCCTCGCCATTTGTCTGATAGTTCATGGTCTGTCTTGTCTCACCCTTACGTTCGAACTTCTGTCAATGGCTAGTACCTGAGCCATCAACAGTACCTTTTCGGCCTCTTCGGCAGAGTCCAGTGTAACCCTTAATGGGGGTGGCTTACTCTGAGGTGTGTGGACACCCCTGTACAGCCTGCAGAATTTCACTGAACCAATGTTCAGACCACCTCACTGTTCACATCTTCTCACCAGAACTCCAGGAAACTCCATCCTGTAGCAAGTCAACTCGTAAAAACATAACTAACCCTTACAAAGCAAACTATAGAAAATTAATCTGATGCTCGCTAGTGACTTGCTACAGGTTGGAGTTTCCTGGAGTTCTAGTGAGAAGTGACCAGTGAGGTCTAATTAGATGTCACGTGTGTGGATGGATGTCCCACCAACGACAATGGTTGGGGTCGCGCTAGATCACGAATTGGTAGAATTCATGAGCCATTGAATCGGGTCCCAGTGGCTGAATGGTATACGAGCGTGCCTGCTTGTAACCGGAAGGTCCAGGGTTCGAATCCCAGTGGGTGCGTACTGCCGATGATTCCCAAACTAGGATGAAACAGCTGTCCAGTACTCCAGTGCTGGTTTTCAATGGTTCTCTAACTGATATCAATCCGTGGTCAAATCGTAAAAACATAACTAACCCTTACAAAAGCAAACAATAGACAACTTTTGTTTGTTTGTAGCTCGTATCCTGTTATAGGATATGTTGTGAAGTGGTGAATTTCTTAGTCTCTGTCTGTGTTTCAAACTGAAGGCATATAGGGCAGTGTTAGTCGTGCTGACTCTTTTTCAGTCTGTGACATTTTGTTTAGGAGCTAGACATTTTCGCCACCCTAAATTAGATACTTTTAACATATTTCGAACCCTCATTATCCTACATATTATAGACAATCACACTTAGTTTAGTATCAAGTCTTTTGATAACCTCTGTTGTGATGAAGTTCATCAAGGTGTCAACCTTCGTTACTGATTCTGTGTCAATTTCGCCAGGGTTTTCGGTTCTGGTCCGAATGCTCAGAGGTGTAAGTTCACAGACCTGTGATTTTATATCACTAATCTGTGTTGATGGTTTAGATATATTGGCCAACTTTTTTGAATATCCTGCATTTATAGCCTTACTGCACCTTATTTTCTGCACCTCAGTCATCAGGTCTTCTGCAGAAAGCTTTAGTTGTTGCATTTCTGAAGCAAGTGTTGTGACACGTACATAAAGTGTAGTTAAGAGTTCTATGTCAGAATCAGATGCTGAGTTTTTTGATTTTTTTTTTGATTTACAGCTTGATTCCACACCGTATTTTCAGTACAAGTGTGGAATTTTCAGCATGGATATCGGTAGCCCAAATTCAGGCCGACCATAGATATCGGGTGTGCACCGGCAGGGGATCGAACCCCGGACCATGTGCATGGTCGGCGAGAGTCCTAACCACTGTGCCACCGACGCAGAAAAGATGCTACTGCTAGTTGTCAGCATATCTTTGCTTTCAGTTACAGCCATTGTAGATGAATAACATTCGAAAGCGGAGCAGTTATTAAATGATATATAGTAGCAAAGTAACAGTCACTAGCTAAGCTACTTACAATTTATCCCACCGGCGGAAAATTAGAAGTTGTTTGTTACGGTAACTTTTTGATTTCATTCTCTGCTTCACCCCATACACTAGCTTATAATGTCCATGAATTTTTATGAGTCTGTTTTTTAACGCCTCTGTAGTGATTGGTATACTTCTTCTGCTTAGATTGACTTTCTGGTGGAGCTGTATGCCAACCACTCTACGAACAATCTACCGCGGTAGATTGTTCGTAGAGTGGTGTTGGAGGGACGCGTCCCTCCAACACAGAATTGGTATAAATTTACAGATAGCTGGAGTGTTGCAATCTTAATAAAATTTTGGTCACCAACTGAGGCAAGAGTAAACAACAGACAACAAAGTCAAATAACCTTCATCAAGGGCGCATTGCAGACTTATTGGGGCAGACTTCGGGAGCATTGCAGACTTTTTGGGGCAGTCTTCGGGGCGAATACTCAAGAACGGCAATGCGCCCAAAGTTTTTTGCCCCGAAAAGTCTGCAGTGCCCCCGAAGAAAATGCTAGGTGGGTCAGTCAGATCGCTCAGCATTACAAATGAACTCTGTTCATAATAATCTTTGCAAATTGCACCTAGATTTAGTTTTTTAACTTCTTTGTTGAAATAGGTTGATAGGGAGGACTAAAAGACTGATATATTGAGGGACAATGACTTTGCAATAATAGTGCCGTGCTTTCGATGGTCATGCATTTAGGTACAACCACTGTTAAATGAGTAAGTCTGTAAGGGTTGGTTAGTCGTAAATTATGGTGGTTTATTTGTTACTTTCCTCTCGAAATCGATTCTCCTTTAGTAAAATATGATAAACAGCCGATTAGATGAATTTTTGTATCGACACTGGTTTTATATGACTGCAGACACTCCTATGAGTTACTGGGACAGATTTTTACAGCATATTAGGGATATATACCCTGTATAATTCATTTTTGTGACAAATATGTTATAAATACATTTTTTTGTAGATTAAATACCAACTTTTCACGTAGAACCTGACTGGTTCTTTCAAGGTCGTCTGAAGTTGGTGTCTACTCTTTCCTGTTGCGCCAACTGGTTTTCATTCGATAGGATTTCACAGGTAATGAGGATTTGTAATTTTTAAAACCAGCGTGCATCATTCTAGTGTTAGCATGCCTTCAATATTCCACTAACCGAATATTGGAATTCTATTTACTTGCAGATATCTAGACCTGTTCATGTCGAACCAATTTTAGGTCCTCTTAGGTGTTGACTGAAAGTGAAATTTTTAGGGCACTTCGTTTAAGTCAAATGTGCAGAAGCTCTTCATTGTAGTCATTCATTATTTAGTGTCACAGTTAAGACGTGCATTAAAGCGTCCAATTCTCAAGCTTCCTAACTTGTTTCGACACTGTATGATTGTGCACGTCATGTTTGCCGTGAACTTTCACCCAATATCTATTATTGGTGTATTATTTGTAGAAAGTTTCCATATTCTGGGTTGTTGTTTCGTTATTTTACGTGTTTGTTCTGACAGTATATTTGTGCCTATCAACTGACCTCATTCCTATCAAAGGGTTGAAACTACCATTACTCTAATAATCACACATGTCGGGTAATCATGTATTTGTATTGAATTGGCAGGTCAACACAAGGGATTTACTTTTAGGTTGATGTCGGGAAGCAGCATTGCAAAGGCTACTGTTAATTGACCAGTTGCTCCTACTTTAATAGCACCCAAAGTTGTTTTTTTTGGTTAACTGATTTCCAGTCAAATATCAATTTACTGGTTTGATCAGATTAAAGTTGGCAATCAGAAGTAGGTCCCAATTACCTGTCCCAGAGAAGCGTAAACTTCTCCTTGGATGCAATGTTTTACGACCTACTCGCCTTAAGTGCAGATGACTGGTGTTGTATGTTTAACCATCTGTTATTCATCAATCAGATATAATTGATACCTTTAAACATTTCCTTATCTCATTAGTTGCACAGACAGACTTCGATAGAGAGGTTTTCGCTGAATACTGAGTCTATGGTTCAGGGTTACAGAAAGCAAAAAGTGTAGAATTTTGAAGTAATAAAATTATCTACTTCTTTCTGTAGATCATCGATACTAGACCAAATAGAATTCAGTGATTCTTAATGATACGCTAAACTAATAATAATAGCTTTGTTCTGAAAAAATGTATTTATGCACAATACAAAATTTTCAGTAAGTTTCTTATTACAAGCTGTTTGTTCCTTGTACAGTCTTTAAGTAATAGGATATGCGATAATATATCAACTGAAGCGATATTGTCTTATACAAGGCATAGTCCAATAATCCACAATGTTCCCTCCATTTCTGTCTAAAACATTTGTAGCAATAGTTTGAAGCCCACTTGAAAATGTCTTAGTGCAGATTGTTGTACATTATTGTATACGATTCATGGAAATTTGAAGAACTCTTTTCTCGGACATGAAGAGTTTTATCTTGTGTAAAATTGACCTGTGCGCAGTTGAGACGATAAAAATAGGGTTACAATATACGAATAATCTCGTTGACTTAGAATATGCAGACGATATAGTCCTTCTAGGCGAGGACGCTGACAAAATGCTGAGTCTACTGAACACCTTGAGCAACAATCTTCGTATGTTTGGCATGCGATTCTTCCATGTAAAATTTAAGATAATGCTGCAGGATTGGACTACACCGACTCCTAGATTACAAATAAGAAGTGAAGTGGTAGAGCACGTTGACCGCTTCACTTACTTGGGAAGTACCATCAGCCCCAACGGGTTGATCTCTGACGAAATCTCAGCACGGACACAGAGGACTAGTTTCGCATATGCCAGTTTACGCCATCTCTGGCGTAGACGCGATATCCGACTATCGACCAAAGGGCGTGTGTACTGCTCAACAGTCCGCTTCGTCCTCCTTCATGGCTGTGGGACCTGGCCATTGAGAGTGAAAGACATGAAAAGATTAGCTGTCTTTGATCATAGGTGTCTGCGTTCTATCTCCCGCGTGAAGTGGCATAATAAGGTGAGCAATATTGAGGTTAGGCGTCGATTGCTAGGTAAGGAGGGGAAATCAGTCGACGAGACTGTGAAATTACATCGACTGAGATGGTTAGGACATGTGCTACGTATGTCTAGTCATCGCCTTCCTCGACGGGCAATGTTAGCTGATATAGGGCCAGGCTGGAAAAGAGCTAGCGGTGGTCAAACTAAAACATGGCACCAGTCAATGAAATCTACAACGGTTAGTCTAGGCCACGTAGGAAGGTGTAAACTTCCTGACTGGTTGGGGTCCTCGGGACGGTCCAAACCAATGGTCGGAAACAATTGGTAACATGGCTCAAAATCGTTCTCAATGGCTGGTGCAGGTGCATCCACTCCTTGTGGCTTATGATTTCCAATGAAACTTTTGTTCCTCGTTATTACTATTCCTTTGTCTCACACCTCTGTTTACTGTCTATTTTATTATGCGTTTCTCCTACTTTCTTCGCCTGTTTTATGTGCTACATGGAGTGTGGCGACTTGAACTGCCGCACATCGGTGCAAAGTTCTATGTCGAAAACCAACCGGCCGACCGATTGCGTTGTTTAGATCTCGTAGATAATTGTAAGTTAAAATGCAGTTTATGAATTTGGGCTAGAAAAAAAAACTAGACCAAAATGTCATCCACAATTCGCATACTATAACTCACTAATTCTCTTTAGTTAATACAAAGTAGATACATAAAATGTCATCTGTCAACTTTTTACTCGTACTTAACACTTGGTGATAAGGCAGCAAAAACGCAAACTACCTTTTTTCTTCTAAAAGAACGAGTAAAAAGTACTCAGAAATGCATTAAGCAAACCATAGATGGTATCAGTAGTATTAAATTGGAAGTGAAGCTAAACCCAGCAGTCCGATTCCCCAGAATAGATGAACGGAATTACAAAAGTTTGAAAAGTGTCCGTTGTAAATTGTTGTTTAGAAAGGATATAAGCAGATAAACTTGTCTTTGTCACTCATAAACATTCTTTGCTCCAAACGGTAGTTTCCCCTACTCCTGTAACATCCTTTAGAGCTATTCCAAAATTCAGAGGTAAATTAATTTACCGACTTCGGTAAGACATAAAAGACGAGTCTCCTCAAAGCTCTATGACTATTTAACGAAGTTATATTCTGTAATATAAAATATTATATGAAAAATGGAAAGAAGTTCAATTTTTATTCGTTAATCTTTTTTGTTATACCTGTGTTATTGAGGTGTCCATACTTATGTTTAGTTTTTGTCTTACCGGTATTTAATGTGTCTGCTTTGAAACTATTTCTAAAATCATGTACTGTCTTTTACTGTCTCCCAAAATTTGATTTTTACAGGTAACTCAGTGAAAAGCGTGTTCTGATCTCAAACTTCTATGGGTCAGAAGCAACCAAAGTTAAAACAAGATGCTGTTGAAGAATTATTAACTCAAACGTCTTTTACGGAAGCAGAAATACAAGATTGGTACAAAGGATTCTTAAAGGTCAGTTGAATCATGTATTATGAACTTTTGCCTATGTACATAAGCGTTTTTAGTGATCTAATGACTCCATAACTTAGGCAATTTGTTATGCACAGTAATACACTTCACAGACAGTTACTTAAAGGTGAATATCTCCAAAAGGTTACATGCCTTCAATTAATCTTGTGTTGAGCCTCCTTCATGCGATTAATTTTTTGTTTTCACTTAGGACTAGAAGGTTCATCATATTCTTTTTCACATTTTCTAAAATTCCTTTATATTCCGAGTGGAGGATAGGGCTTCAGTTTGTAAGACTTCAGTAGTGGTGTTCGGTCAGTCGGTTTTCGACATAGAACTTTGCACATATGTGCGGCAGTTCAAGTCCCCACACTCCCTCCTTGTAGCACACAAAGCAAGAGAAGAAAGTAGAAGAAATGCATATTAGAGAGAGTAAACAGAGGTGTGAGACAAAGGAATAGTAATAACGAAGAACAAAACAGTTTCATTAGAAGTCATAAGTCACAAGGAGTGGATGCATCTGCGCCAGCCATTGAGAACGATTTTGAACCATGTCACCGATTGTTCCCAACCACTGGCTTTTACCGTCCCGAGGATCCCAACCTTCCTAGGTGGCCTAGACTAACTATAGTAGATTTCATTGACTGGTGCCATGTTTTGGTTTGACCGCCGCTAGCTCTTTTCCAGCCTGACCCTATATCAGCTAACATTACCCGTCGAGGAAGGCGATGACTAGGCATACGTAACACATGTCCTAACCATCTCAGTCGATGTAGCTTCACAGCCTCGTCGATTGATTCCCCCTCCCACCTACCTAGCATTCGACCGAAGTCTAACCTCAATATTGCTCACCTTATCATACCACTTCACACGGGAGATAGAACACAGGTACCTATCATCAAAGACAGCTAACCTTTTCGTATCCTCCACTCTCAATGGCCAGCTCTCACAGCCATAAAGTAGGACGGAGCGGACTGATGAGCAGTACACACGCCCTTTGGTCGATAGTCGGATATCACGTCTATGCAAGAGACGGCGTAAACTGGCATATGCGAAACTAGCCCTCTGTATTCGTACTGAGATTTCGTCAGAGATCAACACGTTGGGGCTGATGATACTTCCCAAGTAAGTGAAGCGGTCAACCTGGTCTACTACTTCACTTCCTATTTCTAATCTAGGGGTCAGTGTAGTCCAATCCTGTAACATCATCTTGCATTTGGTGGGAGTGAATCGCATGCCAAACATTCGTAGATTGCAGCTCAAGGTGTTCAGAAGACTGCATTTTGTCAGCGTCCTCGCCTAGAAGGACTATATCGTCTGCATATTCTAAGTCAACGAGATTATTCCCTGGTAGCAAGTCAATCCCTGAGTCGCTGAAGTGTGTTAGGGTTAAGTCCATTAGTACATCTATGATGAAACTGAATAGAGATGGGGATAATGGGCATCCTTGACGGACGCCACTAGTCGTCACCACTTCAGATGACAACTCGCCATAAGCCCTCACCTGGCTGCATGAGTATGAGTAGAGTGCCTTAATCAGTGCAATGTATTTTCTCGGCATTCCCTTTACAGCCAAGCATCGCCAGAGAACCTCTCGGTCGACAGAATCGAATGCCGCCTTTGGGTCAAGAAATATAAAGATTGTTGGATGCCGGTAGGAATGCCTGTTCTAGAATCTGTCGGAGGGTGAAGATATGATCAATACACCCTCTTCCTGGGCTAAAGCCTGCCTGGTTTTCTCGTGTTTGTGCCTCCCGAGCACCGCTTAGTCTACGCATGATTATTGAGCCTAGGACTTTAGATACTATATTAGTCAAGCTAATCCCTCTGTGGTTATCACAGGAAGACTTGTCTCCCTTCTTGTATATCGGGATGATCAATGACTTACACCAACCCGATGGGACTTCGATATAAGTATAAAACTTGGGCACTGTGGTAGAGTATAACTCCATAATGGTTAAGATTTTATTTTGATAAATCACACAGTGTTGTACAGTTATATTAACTGATGACGTTTCGAGCACAAACTATTGCTCATAATCATATCAAGTTACTCACACAACTTCTTTCCTTCATTTATATACATCTGTGGAATCGATTAGATATTGGAATAAAATTCAATATGAATGTACATTATCTCATATTGAATTTTATTCCAAATATCTAGTCAATTCCACACATGTATATAAATGAAGGAAAGAAGTTGTGTGAGTAACTTGATATGATTATGAGCAATAGTTTGTGCTCGAAACGTCATCAGTTAATATAACTGTACAACACTGTGTGATTTATCAAAATAAAATCCTAACCATTATGGACTGATGGGACTTCCTCTGCTTCCCAGACGCTGTCTAGAACCTCAGTTAATGCGGACAGTAAACTGTCTCCACCGCACTTAAATACCCCTGGAATCATTCCATCAGGTCCCGCTGCTTTGCCTTGTTTTAGATTGGTGACAGCTTTAGTAACCTCAGCTAAGGAAGGAGGACCTGTGTCTATACCCCATTCAGGGAGGTGTTGGATTTTCAGCAGGTTAAGTGTGGCTGTAGGCCAATTAAACTGCTCCTCATAGTGCTCTTTCCAGCATCCCAGTTGTCTATCCTGGGAGCTAATTATGGTGCCATTTTTCTCCGAGATTGTTTCGCTTATCATTTGCCCTTTGCCACCTGTTTCCCTGATAAGCCTAAATAGTTGTCTGCTGTTGCCAATCGCCTATGCCTTTTCCATCTCTTTCGCTTTTGTCGCCCACCACTGTTCACGGTCGTTGCGAAGACTTTTTGTTAGTTTTCGTTTAAGTACCTTTCGCTCCTCATCATAATCGTAGCTCGCTGGAATCAGTCTTCTTGCGTCAATCAGTTCGGATGAGGCGGTAGAAATCCAATGGCTTTTACTAACTTTAGGTTTTAGCCTATTAACAGCTCTCACTGCTGTGTCTACAGCTAACTGTGTGTTGTGCCAGGCTACCTCGGGGGAAGTCCTGCTGTTGACCTCAAAAACTCGTTTCGCTATTTCGTCCTTAAATAAGGACTCAGTGTCTCGATCTAGTTGGGGACGTAACTGTTTCGCTGCCGTCAATTTCTTATGTCCATTTAGTCGTAAGCATAAACGTGCGCGAACCAGAGCGTGATCAGAGTCTACGCACGTGTCCCAGAAGGAGCAACAGTCTTCTACTGACCCTCGCCAACAATACCTTATGGCTATGTGGTCTATCTGAGTCCAGCGTTGATTTGGTGATGGCGGTCACCAGGTTACACAATGTTTCTCTTTGTGCCTAAAGTTAGTGCTGACTAGGAACAGATGATTATCTGAGCAAAACTGTAGAAGACGATCACCGTTGTCGGTCCGTCGGCAGGGAACTCCATACGTACCACCTACATACTTCTCAGTCTGGCACAACTTCCCTATTTGGGCATTGAAGTTACCTGCTAAAACAACTACATCTGAACGTTTTGCTTTTTGCAGCAAATTAGACAGTTTCAGGTAGAAGTCATCTTTTAGTTCATCCGAACTGCAGTCTTTTGGGGCGTAAGCGGAGACTACGAAAAGGCAACGATGGGTAGCGCCGTCTTTCCTTCTTTTAACGGACCCATTCAGACGGACCGCACACACACGACTATCTACTGGGATCCAGTCAAGAAGTGATTTTTCCGCCCTAACACTCATAAGATTTTAGTGAAGGTTAGAATGATTGACCCCACGAAGACAAGTAATTTAGACAAAAGCTCAGCAATCGCACTAAATGCATTAACATGCAACCACATCATAGGGTAGGAGAGGGTTAAGATTCTAAGAAGTAATATAAGTACATGGAGAGAGAGAGAGACTGATTACTGAATCCTGGTTCATCGAATAATATACACCCAACACATGTAATACAAAAACAAAATAATCGAGCAAAGAATATTCTTTTCGATAAATTCCTCTTCCAGGCTCTACAATTATATATATGTTTGTATACACAGAATATTTTAAATTAGTAGTTAATAACAATATTAGCGTTTTTTTAAATAATATCGATTTGTAAAGTATGATCAATGCTATTGCAGTTTATTAAAGATGCTTAGATTATAATAATAATAAAGATATAACAGCGAATAGAATATCAACTAAAATTAGGGAAATTTCACAAAAATTCTGGATTATTCAAACCTGGATGGCCAAGGTAATGATAATGACTGGACTAACTTCTTTTGGGTGCATAAATTAGGCTTATTAATATGAATCCCCACAGCCTCAGCAATATTTAGAAGTCGGACTCTTAAAGCGAAATTGAGATTCGTTGGTATGCGGTAAATGACCCTGAAAGCATGATTAACGTCAATCTTGTGTTCTGTCTCCACAAGATGCGCCAGAATAGCACTGCGAATAGATTTTGTTTGACCTTTGCTTAACCAGGCAGGGTGATGTTCGGAAATTCGACGAGAAACACGCCTAATTGTACGGCCTATGTAACTGGCTCCACAGGAGCAGTTAAATTGGTATATACACATGGAAGAGGCGAAATTAGGCAGTTTGTCTTTTATTCCCGAACGCAGAAGTGGAGTGGTTTTGAAGATACAGCGCAATTGAGCAGCAGGGAATGCTCTTTTTACCGCATTTCTGAGGCGATGTATTAGTATTTCACTTGTGTTGTCTCCTAGGAACTGCATCTGTAAGAACAAGGATTTCTTTGGAACTGTTGGTACCTTGGATTGTTTTGGTTTTAGATTCATATTCTTATCAATAAACTTTTCAGGATAACCATTCTCACTTAGCAAACGTTTAATATTGCTAAGCTCCTCGTCGAGACATTCATCCGAGCAGATTGCTCTTGCTCTGTGAACTAGGCACTTTATCAGATTGCGTTTGTATTTCAAGGGCACAAAGCTGAGAAAATGTGTGTACTGGCCCGTTGATGTAGGTTTTCTATAAACATTTCTTTTTATTGTGCCATCCTCTTTTCTGGTCATAAGGACGTCTAGAAATGAAATACTAGAGTCTTTTTCTTTCTCAATAGTAAAATTTATTGCAGGATGTACCTCATTGAATTTATCCAGGATGTCCTTTGCCTCATTTTCGTTCTTCATAATCAAAAAAGTATCATCCATGTATCGACAATAAAATTCGAGTTCATTAATAACATCTTTCAAAGGCCCATTTTCTAGTTTCGCCAGGAAAATGTCGGCTAGAATGGGTCCTAGTGGCGACCCCATTGCCACACCGTCGATTTGTCTATACAGTTCCTTATTAAATAAGAAGTGGACATTCATTGTACATTTCAAGAGAAGCTCCTTCATGAAAGCTATAGGAATGCCAATCTCGATGTTTCGTCTTTTGAGTTCTTCACATATAAAGTCCACTGTTTCCATGAGAGGTACATTGGTGAATAAAGAAGATACGTCAAATGATATCATAAACTTATTATCAACATTTAAATCTCTTATCCTTTCAACGAATCCAAATGTATCCTTTACACTATGTTTCACCAACTCAGTATGAAGGGGCTGTAAGAGTTCGACTAACCATTTGGCTACCGGATGGTATGGTGAATTTAGCATATCTAATACTGGTCGTAGCGGTACACCATTTTTGTGCACTTTAGGTGAGCCATATAGTCTTGGTGTGAACGTTCCGGTGGGTTTGAGTGACGTGTACTGACTCTGTGAGATGAAGCCTTGTTGTTTCAGTCTTTTCAGTGTTTCCGCCAACTGCATCTCTATCTTTTCAACCGGATCCAGAGAAGAGGAGATTTTTTGGAATTTTGAATTATCATTAAGAATAGTATTCATCTTCTCAAAGTAATCCGCTTTGTTCAAGATAACCACTCCTGAGCCCTTATCAGGTCTTGTTATTATTATGTTGTCATTTTTGCGGAGAGTATCCAGGGCTTCTCTATGTTTTTTGGTTAAGATACTATCTGAATTGCGTTTACTGTTCATGTAATAATAGCAGCAGTCGACCAGCGTTGACTTAAATCTTTCAACATCTTCAGTTGATGAGGGTGTTAGGCCTTCCGTCTGGGTATAGAGACTTTCGAACTGAATTTGTGCATCCATTTTGCTGATTTTTACATGGCTGTCACAAAATTTGGGGCCAAGCGATAAAACCTGTAGATCCACTTCACTAAGTATTACATCTGAAAAATTAAACACAAATCGATTTGGGTTCGGTGGAAATCTTGTTTCTGGTGTCTTGTTCTCTAAACTCTGTACCAGCTTCAGGCGCTTCTTTTCTTTCCTATTGCTCACAATTACCTCCACGTAATCTAAAAATAGTTTCTTTAGGTTTTCTGGTAATTCGTCGACCGCATAGAACCTTTCTGTCACATTCTTAGATAACTCAGTAATACACACTTGAATTGAGTCAATTTGGTTTCGTGCATGGCGTTTAAGAGTCTTATCATTAGGCCGGATTCTGCAACGGCGTAGAGATTTCCAATAAGATTTTGGGTACCGGTTTGTTTCAATGCACTGGTGGATAAAGTCAACAGAAGTCTTTGCTTCGCCGAGCCTTGCGTTATACTTCAAATACTCGTTGAGTACTTTTAACGCAAAATGATGCTCAGAAGATTTCAATATTGCAAAAATGTTCATTCAGACATCTATAAAAACAAAATAATCGAGCAAAGAATATTCTTTTCGATAAATTCCTCTTCCAGGCTCTACAATTATATATATCAACACACACACACATTTCCCCCCTTTATTTCACATTTGTATTAGTTAGTTAGTCAATTAGGTTTGCATATATATGTATTAACTGATATGTGTGACGGTAGTGGTGGTGGTGGTGGTCTGCAAATGAAACATCTATTAACACTAATTTACCTATTATTATTATTATTATTATTATTATTATTATTATTAATTATGTCAAGTATCCTATTTCACCTATGTATGTGTGACATTTCAATTTTCACCCCCACCCCCCCCCACACCCACAGTTCGGTTCATATTAATTATTTTTTACATAGGTGTTTTAACCTGCAGTACTAGTACTAGTAGTACTATATACCCGAAATTTTGATCTAATATCTCTTATTTTTTGTGTGTGTAATACAAGTGACTCAACGCAAATACCAGAGATATGGAAGATATTATTACCAGTCAAATCAGAGGATAATAGATAATGTTAAAGTATATTTCAATTCACATAACATTCTGACAGGTTACTTATTTTTACTCTAAAAACATATTACTTCCCATCTGATTGTATTTGACTGATAACACTAATATTATTTCCGAATGTACTTTATCTTATATTGATTTTATTCAAATGTCTATGATTATGAGCAGCAATAAATTGTGCTCGAAACTTTTGTATCAGTAAGTATTACCGTATAACAACACTGTGTGATTTTATCAAAATAAAATTTTATCCATAATGGCATAGTTATATTCCACGACAGTGCCCAATTTTTATCCTTATATCAATAATAGTAATAATAACATTAATATCTTTTATTTATTTTTCCCTTTTTTTAAAAAAAACAACCGCCACAACAATTGAAGGAATGCCCAACTGGTCATTTATCCATCGATGATTTTAAACGTGTATATACAAAATTTTTCCCATACGGTGAATCAACACGTTTTGCTGAATGTGTCTTCCGTACATTCGATAAAAATCGTGATGGCTTGATTGATTTCAGAGATTTTCTATCCTCATTGAATATCACAAGTCGTGGTGATTTACCACAGAAATTACGTTGGGCATTTACAATGTATGATTTAGACAATGATGGATACATATCAAGGCAAGATTTAATTGAAGTGCTTACGGTATGTATATAGTTTTATTTGTTGTTGATAACTTTTCTTAATGTTATATTGCATTTCCTGTCAGATTGACGACTGCCTGTTGTATTGGAATATTGTCAGTAACACTGAGGTTAGGGGTGTGTAGAGTGTTAGGCAAGCAGAAACTCCATCTACTGGATAAGATGGCCAGAACACATGTTACATGTGTTGAGCCATCTCATTCTCTGTCGAACAATGTTACATGACATGGAATTAATTTTTGAAAAAATTTGGGGTGGTTCAATCGAAGCCTCATACCAATCCATGAACTTCAACACTTTTGTGCAAAGTTTATCATATTGGAGTGAAATGCTCGGTTTTTGTTGAAATGTTGACTCTTAGTGTGTGGATGCTTCGATGATGTCTTGAAGTAGACATTATGTTACTTGATTGGTGGTGGTGATGGTGGTGCTAACTAGCAGTGGAATCTAGCATCCGCACTTCGTTGTATTTGGGGGTGTTCCTACTGAGACACTGCTACATAAAGTATCTAAATTGGTTGATATATTTTTTTAAGACTGAGTAATTTTAAAGGGTGTTTCCTTTAGAAGTCGACTGATACACAGTACTAAGGATAAGGCATTTTTTGTTCAGTAATCTTTTACATTTTTTGTTTCTTAGCTCTGAGATCATGCACAAGATTCATGTCAGGCTGTTTCTCATGATGATTATTATTTACAATAGTTTAACATTGTTTGTCATGAGAGAGTATGTCTGTAGAAATTAAAACTGAAGATTGGACTTTGCATAAATAGTCGATGTGCTGAAGTAATCAGTCCTACACTTTCCGTGCTTCTTCCCTTATTCCTTACATTCCGAGTGAAACATAAGACTTCATTCAAGCTTGGCTCCATTATAGATAAGATTTTATTTTGATAAATCACATAGTGTTGTGCAGTAATATTTAGTGGTGCACAGGTTTCGAGCATAAATTACTGCTGCTCATAATTATATCACAGCACTCAAAAAACTTTTTACTTCATGAGTGGAATTGATTAGATACTTGAATAAAAATCAATATAAGATAAAGTACATTCGGACATAATATTAGTGTCATTAGTGCAGTGTCAGCGATTGCACTGCATGCATTAACACACAATCACACAATAGGGTGGGAGAGGGTAGATGGAGAGACAGAGAGATTGATTACTGAATCCTGGTTCATCGGGTCTACACCAAACACATTCAACAGAAATGACTCAATGCAAATACCAGAAATATGTATCGAAGATATTATTACCACCAGTCAAATCGGAGGAGGATAATAAATTATCTTAAAATTCTATTTCAATTCAAGCACATCACAACATTCTAACAAGTTACTTATTATGACTATAAAAACACTCGTCTTATTTCCCATCTTGCTACTGTATTTGATCAATAACACTCATATTATTATTATTTCTGAATGTACATTATCTCATATTGATTTTATTCAAATGTCTAGTGATCAAGTTTTACTCATGTATATAAATGAAGGAAAAAAGTTGTGTGAGTAACTTGATATGATTATGAGCAGTAATAGTTTGTGCTCGAAACGACATCAGTTAATATTACTGTATAACACTATATGATTTATCAAAATAAAATCTTATCTATAATGGAGTTATACTCTACCACCACAGTGCCCAAGTTTTATACTTACTTCAAGCTTGGGTTGTAAAGGTCTCTGTAGCGATGGTGTTGGTTTTACGGAGTGGGGTGTGTGTGTTAATATCGCACTCAATCTTCCACTTTCTTGGACGGGGTTTAGGAGAGTATGCCAGCTGAATATCGATGTCGGACCTCTGGTGTGGCTGACAAGCATTCTATGGCACTATACGGCTGACAAATTATTACTTCACTTCGGGAAGTAAACTACTAACTCGTCAAATTAATCATTGAATCAAATTATCTTCCTGGGTAAATTGGCATGATGCAATGAGAATAACTTTTGCAGGACAAGAGGAAGTTCATTTCGCTTCTTTACAGGGATCTCATCATCTGCATACAACCTGAATAATAAAATACAAAACTAATCAGTGTGACATAATCTGAATAGCCAGTTTGTTTCATGAGAGTTGAGTAGCATACTAAAAAAGGTGAGATGAGATGCAAATTATGCAGAAAGTTAGAATAATCAATTATGATCAAACTGGAGATACTATATATGTCATAAAGAAATAAATATTGTGGAAAATTAGAAAGTAATTGTTAGATAAGTGGAGATAGTTACGTGATCATGCGAGGGCTTATTCAAATAAAATGAAATACAGGGTCACAGATCACAAAGGTATTAATAAGATTTAGTATGAAAAGAGATGAATGTAAATTTCAAGTTACGTCACAAAAAGTGAAATGAACTTTCCATCAGTGAAAGAACACATGAGTTAGCAAAGAGATCTCTTCTGTTCGTAACTTTACTTGAAAGCTGTACGTACAGTTACTGAGGGTGTTTATACATTCAATGTAGGTGGACAACAGAGGTCAAAGGTTATTATTGTCAGTTAGTAATAAAACATATCAAAGTGCATGAGTAATAAGTATGTTTGAAAATTAGCAATAGTCTTGTGTAATTCGCATGGGTTGACAATTAATTAGTTGAGTGATGATTAGTATTCGTTTGGAAATAACTGATAAAAGAAAAAAGAACAAGAATATTCTTTTCAACGGATATCCAGAGAAGTTCATTAAAGCCAACATAGGTTACAATAGTCGTAAACATGAACGGGCAACGGTGGAGAAAAAGCCTCTTTTTTTTACGTCTCCAATTCAAGGGAGATACTCCTGCGGAGATTCTATCGCAACGTTTAACCAGGGCGATCAAGAAAACTTTCTACTCTGCACGTCTCTGTCTATCCTTCAGTAGCCGTCCAATGTTCACCCAGCAACCCAAAGATGTCTTACCTAAGCTTAGCTCTTCTTCATGCATATACCATTTCAACTGTTCCTGTGGTTCAAGTTATATAGGGCGCACGATTAGGCAGGTTCGTCTACGGATTCGAGAACATTTACCAGCTTGGTTCAGCAGGGGGGGGGGGAAATTAAGTGCATAAAAAGCTCGATCCTGTCACACTTGGTCGATACTGGACATCATATCGATGTCAACACAGCTTTCAGGGTTATATACCGAATTCCGAAGTCGTTGTCACGTACAGTTCGCTTACGTCTTCTACACTTAGCTGAAGCTGTTGCAATAAGATCGACTAAACCGGAACTTTGTATCCAAAAAGAACACGTCCAGACGCTGTTCCTACCGTGGCCAAACTTGGATTGATGATTTTTCGTCTCACCAAGAGTGCTCCTTCCCCTTAACCCTCTTGGCTTTTTTTCTTTGCTTATTATTACAAATATTATTATTACAATTATTATTAATATTATTATTCGTCATAATTTATGCCCTTCATGCAAACATTCTCTCGATACCATCGAATTTTTCGTTTATACTATCCGGACTTATTATTAGTGATATTATCTCTTTTCTCAATATATGCCTCCACCTATTTCAATTCACATATTCGTTATTTCATTATGAACCTGTCATTGCAGTCTTACTATCTCCTGTTTAACACAGATCACTTTATACTAGCCGCTCACTCACCTGACACCTTCTATAACCTTGAACTGACTTGTCAATTTTCCTACCCCACACTCTACAAATCTATTATGATTAATCACCATTGTCTCCCGTTTTACAATATTTGGTAATCGAATTCAGCCTAGCACGTTTGTCACACAAATACGACTATTTATTTTGACACCACATAACTAATCTGTTGTAACGACAACAAATATTATTATATTTTATAATTGTAAGAACCTGAAGGGAAATTATTGAAAAGAGTATTCTTCGTTCAGATTGACTCTTAATTCATAATATGGGAATTTTCCACACTATCAAAAGAACAAGAGATTGAAAATGAGTTGTGAAAAACATGAAATGGACTACACAGAGCTTATTATACAGTTAGTTATTCAGGAAGACAAAAAGTGAAGAAAAAATGAAAAAGAAAAAATATTACAAAGGCCATTGTAGTGGAAAAGGCTGGAAGAAATGCTTCTGAACACAAGGTTCAGGGTTCTCTTTAAGGATTGCTAAGGCTTCAGCTGCATGAAGAGAAGATGCAGGCGAGTCACTAATTACTAAGGTAGTCATACAAATTGGTAACAGATCTTTTTTTTGAGCACAATTCAGGCTTCACTCTTTAGATGATGACATCTTTAGCAATTCGAAGTAGTCGTGAGGTATTCTGTCCAGCCATCACCCACCCTAAAAGATTCTTGTATGTTCATTTGGTGTCCTGTATCAACCAAATACCGAGCTATGGTGCTGTTAAATTGATGTTGAACTTCGAAGACTTGTTCAACAATCCATTTGTACAACCGTCTCCTCGCTTTTCCTACTTACTAACTATACAATACGTAAATACTGATTACTTATTTATGGTATTATTGAAAAAAAAGCATAGTTCAGCGATGAGTCTCTTTCTGGCGAATTCATCCACTTAGCTGTACAACTGAAATTATGTATAATTATTTTTGTATGTGTGTGTACATTAGCTTTGTCAAACAAGAATAAAAATTAGTTCGGGTTGTTGTTTATATTATTATTATTGTTCCCTTGGGTTCCTAGTGGAACATAGGGCTTCAACTGCACGTCTCCACTTGCTTGTCTTTTGCTGTACTTTTCACCTGCATTCATGTCAGTCCATACTGTTTCAGTTCCTCATCACACGATCTCCTCCATGTCACCCTTGGACGACCAACTCGCCGCTTCCCTTTCGGGTTCCACTCGAGCATTGGCCTGACACGCGATGTCACCCAGCGGCCTCCTCAGCGAGTGTCCAATCCATCTCCACTTTCTCCTGCATATTTCTTGGGCGATTAGTTCTTGTTTTGTTGGTTCCCATAGTTTCTTGTTGGTGATTCTTTCCGACCATCTGATCTTGAGTATAGAGCGAAGACAGTTAGTTGTTGATAAAGGTCTGCAACAGGCTGTTGGA